GAGGGCCTCTCGACTCTGAAAGGGTTAATGACCAATTCACTTACTGACCTACTCTTAGGAACGGAACTTGGTCATTAAGTGAGGAGTACCTGTAGCCAAAAATTAACAATGTAGACATTAATGTCACTAAAACAATATTTCCTTTGTTCATTAATCACACCCCAGACCTCTCCTATATTATGCTTGCCTTCCATTTTGAATTCATAATCACACAAAAATAAAATATAGCCAGGAATGATTGGTCATGGTTTATGGTGTCCCAGTAATTAAATCAGACCTATTAACTCTTCAGGGTCCAAGGCCCAAATCTGAAGTGGTGCCCCAGTGTGCAAGAATTTTCAAAAAAAAAATTTGTTATTTTTTCTTATGAAATGGTAGAGAATCTTTTTGTGAAGGTAATAAAACAAAAAGTACGAAATTTGATGGAAAATTGACAAAATTATGCTCTCGCGAATTTTGATGTGTCAGCGATATTTACGAATTGGCGATTTTGCCAACTTTGACTCCCATTTTAGGCCAATTACATTATTCCAGTCAACCAAATTCTTAGCTATTTCACTAGTATTACTTCTATTCTATCGAATGAGCACAAGAAATCGCCAAGTCAACTGTTTCAACTACAAATTAAAGTGATCGGAAATTGTTAATTTGGCCAATTTAACACAAAGTTCAAAATATTCCAATTTCAAAATAGGGTCCAGAATAAACAATGTAGGTATTCCTGGAACTAAACTAACATTTCCTCTGTTCATTAGTTATGTTTTGAGGCTTTACAAATAAATTCCATTTTGACTTTTTATTCACATAATGAATTTTTATTCACACCAAAAAATAGAAGATTTACTGTTATGCAATACTGTAATAATTGTATAAATATCATCACCACATTTGTGAATGCATATTAGACCCACCAGCTGGCGTGTATTAGACGTGTGAGGTCGTTTGTTTACTCTTGAATATCGGCAAAAATTTAACATGTCTGCTACTTTGAGCTCAGTTTCAAGCCATTTCCAGTGCTAAAACCAATCAAAATCATCTCTATTTCTGTAATATGTCTTCCATTCTATCAAATGAGACCAAGAAATCGCAAATAGAACTATAAAAAACATACGAAAAAACACTGCAAAGTCGCTGTTTTAATCGAAAAATCATGATTTCAGTTTTTTCTCTCATTATACACAGCGTGCTGCAGGATCTGTTTTATGTGGTGCACACATACCACAGATGTATTCTCTCATATCTAGGCCCAAATGTACCACTCACAGTTTATCAGAGTGAGCTGAGCTCATGACGTAGCTCTACGGTTTGGACCCTGAACGTAAAGCCGTAGATCTATGGGACGGACCCTCAAAGGGTTAAAAACCCCATAAAACAGACAGGGAGGTGGGGCTAACGGTCCTTACCTGTCCTCAGGAAAATTGGAAAAATCTAACATTTCTGTTACTTTGAGCTCAGTTTCAAGCTTCTGGTCCCAAAATCATCTCTATTTCAGTAGTACATCTTCCATTAAAAGATAATAGGTTACAATGTATAATTACAGTTTTGGTTTGCTAGTAGTACAAAGAAAGTCTATCATGCCGAGGCATTTCGGGCAGGCTAATCCTAATACATAGTAACTACTTAAAGCTAGACAAGATAGTAGTGGTTAACTGTATTAGTTTTATTTAATCTTAATACTAATGCAAGGTAGTCAAGGTGGAGGTTTCTAAGAATAGTAATCCTGAAGTTGCACATAATAAAAATATTACAAATAATGGTTCAGGCAGTAATATTTCATGAACCGGCATAAGTTTAAAAGTCTAGAGGTCACATAATATAACTAATTAGCATTTGTTTTGGTTGAATTGGTTAATATTGAGAGATAAGATGATTTTTTAGCAAAGTCGTCCCCTCAAGGAAGGTTCCTTGATGTTGGTGAGGGGCTCTTGATTTAGGGAATTGGATCTGTGCTCGAGTTCCCCGAATTAAGCCTGAATGCCTTCACCCCCCCCCCCCCCAGGCGCTGTATAATCCTCCGGGTTTAGCGCTTCCCCCTCGATTATAATAATAATTTAGCAAAGTCCTAAATTCATAAGTAGTCAGGGGATCCTTTACCGGTTCCGGTAGCGAGTTCCAGATCTTTGGGCCCTTTATGTGCATAGCATTTTTGCATAGTGTGAGACTGACATGAGGGATGTTGAAGAGTGCTTTATGCCTTGTATTGTGACTGCATTCTGTTGTAACTGTCAAGGAGTAGTTTAAGTGGAGGGTTTATAGTTGAATTTAATGTTCTGTATATGTAGTAGGCACAGTAATATGAGTGTATGTCTGGTATATTTAGCAAGTTCAGGCTTTGGAAAAGTGGTGGGGTGTGCTGTTTAGCATAGGAGCTGGTAATCATCCACACGACAGCTTTTCATACCAAGAAACAGCCATAAAAAGTATCCAAGAAGAAAACACCTTAGATTAACTGATTTAAGACATACAGTGAGATTTTTACTTTTCTCATCATGCACTGCATGAGGCAGGATTTTGTTTATACTGTGCACACTCACCATACAGACCCATTCTCTTATATCTGGGCCAAAATTTACCATTCACAGTTTATCTGAGTGAGCTGAGCTCATGACGTAGAATTATGTGAAAGACCCTGGCCTTAATGATGTACTGATGGACACTGAAAGGTTTAATACATAGATTACATGAGCAACACAACACTGGTGTCAATGACTAGAAGTGCCATTTTCCCCCAAAAAATTGCACAGTAATAAGCATTTCATGTAATCAGAAATATCTACTGAACTTTCACACTAACTTGTTTGAAATGTCATTTTTATTTCACAGTTATCACCCTGTCTTCCAAAAAAAAAATATTGGCTGGACAAAAAAAAATGTACAGTAGAATGTCAGATAACATATGATCTGTTAACACGTTTTCACTGTAACATGGCTGCAAAAATGCAGCATATTTTTGATAAACATGCCATAAAAAATTGGTTTACATGGTGGAGTACATGTAGGTGAAACTGTGGCACACACCGTGTTCTTTTCCCTTCGTCTCGCATTGAGCCTCAGGGCAGGTCCATTGTCTTACGGGTTAGTGGGTGGGAGCATCCGAGCTAGTGGGCGAAGACAGGGTCCTGGGTGAAGAAAGGTAAGTGAAGTTCTGAGCGAAGGGGTGAAAGTGGCCCCTGGGTGCATGCTGTTAATTAACATAACCCTATTTTTTCCAATACGTTCTTGGGTTCAGTTTACATGCAATTTTTCATTACACACCATTTTCAGGAACATAACTACCATGTTATCCGATGCCCAACTGACTCTGATTTCTTCCTACTTAAATTCTTCCATTTCTTTTATTTGTAAATTGAGAAATTTGGCTTGTAAATTGTCTTCTGTGGCAAGGTGGGTTTGTGATATACTGTATATAATTTTTTTTTTTTTCCCCATATGAGTCAAGTAGCACCTAGGAATACAAGGAATGGGAGCACAGGTCTGGTTCCTTAAATTAGGGCCTTCACCAGCATTAAGGAACCTCCCTTGAGGGGCTTAGTAGATTAACAGGACACTTTGTTTTAATTGAGCAGGAAACAGCTATAAGAGCCTAATATTAATGTATTGATTCTTACATATACAGAAAAAAAAATCCAGTCTCAGGCTTTTAAATTGTACTCAATGAGATAAATAATTTTTAGGCACCTTTTTGTATAGCCTTCAGGATGTATATATGCTGTATAGTCCTTGTGGCTTAGCGCTTCTTTTTGATTAATAATAATAATAATAATTTAGGATGTATAATACAGTATGTACATTACTCAACTGTTAGAAGAAAATGTTACCCATAGATGTGAATTTAATTTTTTTAGAGAATTGCTTACTTCAAATGATACTCATCAGTTGAGCAACAGAACCAATCAGTTGATAAGCAGCATAACCAATGAAGTTTTCATTCAGAGTAGTCTTTAATACATTAATAAAAAGGTAGCATTTCTTGCCAATTCTGTTTACTTTGTATATTAGGCTTAAAGTCTGTGTGTCAAGGTTGCTGCTTTTGACCTGTGTACCACCAGTCATGAATCATGGATTTTCTTGAACAGGGATTAAAGTAAATTGTCAGTTTATGTACAGAGAGAAATACACTTCTTGGTGAATTTCTGTATTCTCACCAATTTTGTGCATGGTATCTGGTGGTGTACCAATTTTCCTATATGTACAGTATCTAAATCCATTTTATAAGAAAAATTATGTAAATCCTATGTCTGGTCTCAGTACCTGCCATATACAGTAGAACCCCGAGTTTCAAACTTTCTTTGTTCCAGAAGGCTGTTCGAGTGCAATTACCAAACGAATTTGTTTCCCATAAGGAATAATGTGAATTAGATTAGTCCGTTTCGGACCCCCAAAAATACACTTACAAAAGCACTTATAATAATACACTTACATAATTGGTCAAGTTGGGAGCAGTTCGAAACTCGGGGTTCCACTGTATATATGTTTAAGGAAATAATTCTACACATATATGATAACTGATCCTTGTAGTATTATCTCTTGAGTTATGTCATTCACTGGCTACCCTCATAAAATGCTTATTATCATCCTTCATTGCATACTTTCCATAAAAACAATTTGCATATGTACATCATTTACAGTATCCTGTACTGAAATATAAAATTCTACTGTTTTGTGAGAGTGGGCCATTTTTTTTATTAGGGGATTTAAATACATATATTTACAGTACTTAGAAATACAATAACCTTAACATACCACAAACATTTTCCAGTCATTATATACCGTCCCACATTTGATTTTTTTTGTTAATCCTCTCCGTAAATATCTTAGCCTAAATCTTTTTTGCCCCTAACTATTTCGCTGCTATTTTATTTTTAATTTGTGCTGTCTAGTCAGTTATTCCATCTCTTTTATACATGATGAATGTAACCATTTTATAATTTGTGCTTCATATTTTGTTTCTTCAGAATATGAGCAGTATTTTGACATCCTTATTTTTTTCTAATATGAAGGTTAGTGAGCAAGGTGTTGAAATGAGTGAAGCTTACTTTGAAAAGTTCCCGCTTATGAAAGTCCCTCCGAAAGCTGGCGAGTTTATTGCAGTAAAAGTGTTGAGTTTGGATAAATCTTATGCTCCTGTGTACTCCAACTACCTTCAAGCACGTGTGATAAAAATGGATGGACTCAAGGTTACTCTCAAATATGTTGGTGAGTTTATTTAGAAACAATAGTTGATGTTTATATATTTTCGTTTATATCATGTACAGGACATAAGCTTTGATTCTTATAATAAATCTCGGCAAATATTCACAAATTCTAAATTTTAACCCTTTGACTGTACACGTCTTATGAGCCAGTGTTTTGGACGTATACATACTCAGTAATTCTAGTGGCTTCAAATCAAGCAGGAGAAAGCTGGTAGGCCCACATGTGTGAGAATGTGTCTCTGTGGTCAGTGTGCACTGTATAAAAAAAATCCTGCAGCACGTAGTGCATAATGAGAAAAAAAATTCAAGTTTTTGGATTAAAATGCCGACTTTGAGGTGAATTTTCGTATAGTATTTATGGTTGTATTCTGATAAAATGGAAAACACATTATAGAAATAGTGGTGATTCTGATTAGTTTCACAATGAAAACAACCTTGAAATTGAGCTCAAAGTAGCGGAAATGTTCGATTTTTACCAATGTTCAAGGGTCAACAAATCACACCACACGTCCAATGCACGTCAACTGGGGAGTCTAATATTTTTTCACTAGTACACTGATATTATTTATACCATTTTCACAATTATGCAGTAAACTGCAATACAGTAAATCTTCTGTTTTATGTGTGAATGATAAATAAAAATAGAAAGCAAGAGTAATATAAGAGGGGCCTGGAGATGTGACTAATGAACAGAAGATATGTTATTTTAGTGCCAAGAATGTCTGCATTGTTTATTCTGGATGCTATTTTGAAATTGGCATCTTTTTTAATTTGCGTAAAATTGGCCAAATTGCCAAATTCTGACCACTTTATTGGGTAGTTAAAATTGGTAAATGGGTGGTTTCTTGTACTCAATTGATAGAAAATATGGAGTTCTAAAGAAATTGCTACAAGTTTGGTGGATTGGAGCAATGGAATTGGCCGAAAATAGGGGTCAAAGTCGGCAAAATCGCTGATGCGTTTATATCGCTGAGATCACTAACTTTGCGGGAGTGTAATTTCGTAAGTTTTCGATTAAATTTCTTACTTTTGGTGTCATTACCACCGGGAAAGATTCTCTATCATTTCATAAGAATTTTTTTTTTTTTTCAAATATTTTTCGACATAGAATGACAGTTTCAGAAAGGGACTTGTGACAGTCAAAGGGTTAAAAACAATTTCCTAGAAAACTGGTTAATAAAAGCTTAATTTAAAAATTAACAGTGCTGTACTTTTATGAATGATTTTAAAATTGGCATGCAAGCTTAGGCAACTTAAGTTATCTTTTTATTTTGTGTATCAGTGCCAAAAATTTTGTGCAAAGGCTTTTCTGGTACAGCTCTCCTCACTTAGTGACGTACTCGTTTACTGACGACTTGGACTTACGACGGGCTCTCTGACTAGTATGCATACCTAAACAGTGTACATTAGAGCTGATTTCCTCTTTTCTGTTTATTACAATATACAGTACACTGCTGTATAAATACAGTGGACCCCCGGCTTATGATATTATTTCATTCCAGAAGTATGTTCAGGTGCCATTACTGAATGAATTTGGTCCCATAAGGAATATTGTGAATTAGATTAGTCCATTTCAGACCTCCAAACATACACATACAAACGCACTTACATAATTGGTCGCGTTGGGAGCTGATCGTAAACCAGGGGTCCACTGTATAATGGTACCTCCACTCACGAGCTTAATCCGTTCCGTGACCTTGCTCGCATCTGGATTTGCTCGTTTGCAGTCAATTTTCCTTATTTAAATTAATTGAAATGCAATTAATGTTCCAGTGGAATTCCAGGCATGACAAAATATATACTTCAATAATTTCCCAAATGTCAACTCTATGGCTTATTTATCTATCACAATTCATCTAATATGACATAATAAACAATATTAATAACATAGAAACATGATATATACACTAGAATGAATAAAATACATACATGTATTAAGTATGTGGCTAGTGGTGGCATCAGTGGCCATTGTTGTTGTTGGGGTTTATAGGGCCACCAAAGCGGCCATTCCTGCTCCTGCCTACACGTGTAGAGAACCTAGGATAACCCAAAAATGTCAGACAGAGTGACTTATAATTGCTATACTCTTAATACAGTTAATTGCTACACTTAATTGCTACATTTTGTCACTGACTCCTCCTGCTTTAGCATTGTACATATCGTAAAAGTGGTGCGCTGGTACTGTGCTTAACCCTTCGTCTAGTTTGTTTATCTATGATTTCCTGCTTTAATTCCATGGAAATCATCCTTTTTTCTTCTCAGCACTGTCCTTCGCACTTGCTTTCTTAGGGCACATGGTTAGAAACAAGAAATTTCGCAAAATAACTGCATGAAACGTAAGGAAAACATGAGAATTCCCTCCTCCGCGAGTGGAGTGGACCGAGTGTTGTTTTGATACTGCCATTGCGTGGTGGCATTTGGAAACTCATTTATAGTACATGTATAGGGTACAACAAGGTTGCTACCAGGGTACAGCAAGGTACAAGGTCTGTCACTGCTGCTTCATGGTGTCTGCCATTGTACCTCATGATGTCTGCCACTGCTACCACTTTTGCTAGCATGTTGAAGAGCTTTCCAATATGTGAAGGTTGAGGGGCAGTGCCAATCGGACAGGTATTGGATGATGTCAATTGTTTACTCTCAAACTTGCAAAGAATGAACATTTTTGCTATTTTTAGCCAGTTTCAAGGGCTTTTTGTCATGAAACCAACCAAATCATATCTCTGTAGTATATCTTCATTCTATCAAATGAGACCCAAAAAACGAGAATACAACCATAAAAACCATATGAAAATACGTATACCGCTAAAGGGAGGCTAAGGGCTGAGAAGTGATTATTATTATAATCAAAAAGAAGCGCTAAGCCAAAAGGGGCTATACAGTGCGCAGGGCGGGAAGGAAGGGGGGCATCAGTGGCAAAAGGGAGGGGTGAGTAATAGGTTACGGATAACGGGGGGGAGCAGTGGATGGTAAAAAGGGTAAAGGGCAAAAGAGATTGAGCTAGAAAGGGCTAGGGGGGGGGTTAAGGTATATCTCAGAGTTTGTGGGTTAAATCAGTCGTTGTCAAAAAGTCAATAGAGAGTCAGGATTAAAGGGGTCCATCCAAAAAGGGAAGGTAAAGAAGATAGTAAACGAAGACTGTTGGGGGTAAATTCTGCTGCTCTTGATGATGCCCCTCTAACAGAATGGGGCTAATCGTACTGGAATTGACACTGCTCACAGAGGGGTACAGGGGCCTCCCATGAATACCCGTGGTAAGACGAATTGGGCAATCGAAACGGAGAATGGTCTCCCAACCACGGCACTGATGACAAGAAGACAGCCATAACCTATGCTCGGTTTAATAAAATGAAGTTTTTTAGGTAAAACACAATGCAACATTAGGTTTTTCTTTATTTAAAAACGTTTCCCCTACACAGTAGGCTTCTATCAGTACAGAAAAGTTGATAGAACAGAAGATACTTGAAGAAAACCCTCTACTAGTGAGAACAGCGGATTTGAGAGGGCCCTGACCTCCCGCATCGGTTTTCCCTCTCTCTATGACCTTTGCTCCCCTCTTGGCGCTATTTAGGCTCCACCCTGTCACTTCATCTCCATATTGTTTCATTCCAGGGAAAAATGCTCTTCTCCAGACTGGGGGACGACCACCCAAAATTTTAAGGGTGAGGGAGTTTAATCGTCTTCAAGTATCTTTCTGCTTCTATCAACTTTTTCTGTACTCACGAAAAAAGCCTACGGGTTGGCAAACTTTCGAAATAAGATACCTAACTTTGCATAGTGTCTTCCCTAACAACCTGTCGGTTTTTTATACCATTTTAATGTTAGAATGAAGTTTTTTACCAAGCGAGTTGACCAACGTTGTTGCCAACGGCGTGAAGGGGGGTAGCTTTTGCAGCAAAATAGTCCAGAAAGGGAAAACCTCTATAAAAGGGGTAGGTCATGTACACTGCCCGGCGCAGTTCTCCCCTGTTCATTGCTCTGTACATCACATGACCGGGGACCCCAACAAAAAAAAAATATCTTCATGCTTCGTAGAGAACGGCGTACCCAAAAGTTGGATTACGGAAACTAGGGGTGAGATGTATCAAATTTTGTAACCCTTAAGCACAAAGGGGAGTCTGAACTACCACAAATAAAGACACGGGCATAGATGCATACGAAAAGTGCTGAAAGAATGGCATACATTCAGCAAAAAAAATCTAGCCGAAGATAGAAATCCCCCCACACGACGCTGTCCGGGAAACACTGCTGCGAATCCGACGCTGTCTAAAAAGATTTAAAGCCATCTGGTAACAGCGGTGGCATAGAAGGGGATGGAAGTGATCAAGAAAAAGAGGCGGAACCACCGGGGCAGTTGAGCTTCGAGCAGGGATGAAAAAGAACAACCCAACAGTTTGGGCTTCCCAGGGGGGTAGGGAAAAGTGAGAGCTACATGAACATAAAAAGTGGTAATAAAGGGGAAGACAAAGTGAATATGGCAAGAGAAAAGGGACGGAGCAAACAGGGGCGGCGAACGAATAAAGAATGTCTACAAATCGGTGACCATTCTAAAAAAGGGAAAGGATTGTGGAATCGTGAGAGCGTACATGTAGCAAGGCAAGGGGGATCACGGCGATCAGACAAGGATGGAACATTACTTGCTTTGCTAAGGCTCTAACAGGGAAGAGCAAAAAGCACCAAAGGGTACAAATTTTAAAATTTTTGTATGAAAAGTTAAGGCTAAGAGAAGACAGGGACCCGAAAAATCGGTCCCCCAAAAATCGAGTTTTTGAAAACGAGGGCTGAAGTAGGCGAAGCGGTTAAAACGATCAGCTCCCCGGGAAAAGATAGCAAGGGTTTTAAGAAGGTTTAGGGGGTGGACAAGTGCCTTCAGAGGGGTAATGTGGGTTTCCAGAAAACCCTAGGGTCAAAGAGAAGGCCTAGAAACCTGACTATCACTTTGGGGGTGGGGGAAACCATAGAGTACAAAGGATGATGGGAGATGAAGAGCTCTAGGAAAGA